AAAACAAGTTTTAAAATAAAAACTAAGTGATGAAAAAGTGTAACATAGGTACGTAGTTGTTGGAGAGAAGTTGGTTAAGGACCTACCAAAGATGAAGCAGACAAGCACTACTAAAGCAAAGAGAAATATATAAAGAGAAGAGAATGAACAAAGACAGTTGATGCAGGAGCATCCTGAAAAGTGGTTCTTTTCTGCTTAGCTTGCAAAATCATGTCAAACAACATGTCCCTTCTTTCGCTTGTTAAAAGGTTACTTATTTATTTAATCACAACAACGAAACAATTAGCATTTTCATTAGCTAGCATTTTTTAAGGTAATAAAGTTCGTGTTTCTTTATTCTTCTTGAGCCCCTTTGTGCCCTTTGTTTCCTTGCCCATGTTTTCTCACTGTGGACAACATCATTGTTCCTCACTAAATGTTCTAGAGTTGTCATCATATCTCTGTTGAATTATTAATGTTTTCCAACTCTTCTTATAATTATTAATGATGTTTATCATCAAGTCTTCATAGAGAAATTATGCTTCCTAAACACATTTTTTTATCCAACTTCTTAAATCATCTATCTTATTACTAATTAACATAGAATTTAAAGTGTGAGAAAAGTGTATGAAAAATCCCAGATAGAGGAATTTCGGTGATGGTAAAACTGATCTTTAATATTCTTGTATGGTAGGAGGAAAGAAAAGAAATCATAATGACATAGAGTGTTGAAGAAGGAAGTAGCTTTTAGTGGTCCTATACGCGTTAAAAGTGAATGCATGCATGTGTTCATACACCATTTTTATTGAATTATTTGGTTTTCGAAAGTGAAATGAATAATGTCTCTACATTTTCAGATCCAAAATCCAAAAAAACATGCATATATGACGCTTCAATTTACCTGCTGTAAAGCATTAACTCATGACCCCAAAAAGTTACCTGTAACATGGTATTAATGCACACAGAGATGTCATATTTCTTATAAATGCAAATTAAATAATGCTACGTTGGTCAGAGCTTTAGGTGAAAGTAAAGTTTAGGTAAGACAATCACACATGACAGAACCTATTAAGAGCTATAACTGTTACCCTGCCCTTAATTACAAATTTTGCTGCAAGAAACACAACCAGGCAACACTCTTGATTTTTTTCACTTGGTAGTTAGTAGTACATTCTCACGATAACTTCAGGTGCTTTAAGAATACACCTGAGAAATTTGTTGCAGCAACCTCACCCTTCATAATCTAATGGCTTAGGTTGCAACTTAGTGTTCATTTTTCTTTTCCAAACTAGTTTTATAAAATTAAATTAAGTTTAAAGTTTTTTTTTATCATAATATTAAAATTATAAGTTAATGTTTATTTTAACAAAAAAATTGTTTATTCGATCTACTATATCATCTGCTATCAAAATATTTGTTGTTTGTTAGACATGTTATTTTACACATTATCATATCACACACATTAGTATCTAATATTACGGTTATTTTTATATATAAAAAAGTATTTTTATATATAAAAAAGTTATTTTTATATATAAAAAAGTTATTTTTATATATAAAAAAGTTATTTTTATATATAAAAAAGTGTTATAAGTCTTACGTTAACCAAAAATAAGATCAATTTAAAATATATAATTGAATACAAATATTACGAGACTAAATTAGATTTAAATTTAATTCTTAACACTTTATATGATATGATGCATTTTATAAATTTATTTCAATTGACATTTTCATTCTCAATGAAATTGTGAATTTATGAAGAGTTTAAGTTGATAAAAAAAATGTGATTAATTGGAATTAAATAAGACCTGTAAAAGTATTTACACTGTCAATGATGTTGTAATTTAGTCATCGATGATGTTGATTTAGGGAAAAGTATATGAGGTTCGTTCTTAAAGTTATTAGTTGAAACATTTAGAATTGGGTGATTCTATTCATATATTTTATAAGTTTGTTAGTTGGTAGTTGTTTTTATGTTTTCGAACGGACCAGAAATAACAGAAAATAGTATTAAAACATAATGAATGACGTTAGATCTTGTATTTAATGTGCTAAGATATAAAAATAACTCATTTAACAATTTAAGATAATAATAATAATATTTTATATTTTGAAATATGAGGTGGATAATTTTTTTTATAGTTTTCTATCTATTATTTTCCAATAAGTATATACAGTATTGTGCCGTTTATTTGTCTACGGTGTAAAATCATGGACTAAATGTCTGCAGTTGATTAGTTAGTTCATTTTGTAGTCCCCGTAAGTGGACATATACTCATTATCCTATGTTTTGTTTTATTACTAAAACGAGAAAAGGAAAAGATAAGAAGAACAAACTTGCCCCAATTCAATTAATGACTCTGAAAATTAGTAAAACAACACTTTCACTAATATATTTGTGTTGTTATTATTATATAAAATAATAAATGAAAAGTACCAAAAATATAATTTTTTAGAATAATTAATATAAAAAATATATGAGCCTGTCGTTTATCTAATAATCTCAAATTTGAAGCTTAAATTTTCTTTTGGTTTTCATAGTTTTGGTAGTGTTTATTTTTGTTCCAATAGAAATCTAACTACATATTTAATTTTTAAAATTAAGTGCATTTTGACATATGATGACAATGTGAGTTGTTTATCAAGTTGGATATTCATAGCAAAGTCTAACAATAAACATAAGGGTTAAATATGTTTTTAATCCCTAAACTTGGTCGTTTCTGGTTTCGTCCCTCTTTTAAAATAAGGTACAATTTGGTCTCATTCTTTTCGAAACGTTCGTTTTAGTCCTCGGAATTTTGGTTTTAGTCCTCATTTGTTGTTAAATGAGGACCAAATTTTTAAAGAGTATGAGAACCAAATTGTACCTTACTTTGAAACGGCCAATAGTTTAGGGACTAAAAACATATTTAACCCTAAAAATAATGATAGATCAAAGATTTAGTTTTTAAAAAGAAAAATAGACGTGTAATTGATTTTTAAGAAACTAAAATTATACATTTATAAAATTATGGGACCAAAAATATATTTACTAAAATTAATGACGAAATTTTCGGATGACATTTTTGAACATCCTCTGTAAAGGAATCAAAATGTAACAACCAAAGATATAACAATAAGATAATTTGTGACAAATACAGTGACATACTTGTTTCTTTTTTAAACATCCATCACGTTACAAATATTATAAAATTACTAAAATATTTGAAGTTACAAAAAAAAACATATAATACCTAATTATTCTGTTCTATAAATTGGACATAAAACCAAAATATAAATAATGTCAACTAATTTTTACACTAATTTAAGAAGTTAATCAATATATTTAATTCTTCTAATTACATTTTACAATATTTTTCCTAAATTACGAGTCATTAAACTTACCAAGAATAAAAAAGGAACAATATTGAAAATAGAATAGCAATTAATCAAAAGATTAGGAAAAACTAATTAAAACTAGTTTGTTTAAACGTTTTTATATAAAAGAGTATATGTTCTAAATCATATATATATATATATATATATATATATATATATATAATTATTATTATATATGACTTATTGTGTATTGTATGTTCATACAGATCAATCGGACAAGACCACTCAAGAGGACAACCGGTCGAATGGTATGTCATCTACTAAATGTTAAACAATTCAGATACTTAACATACACATTGTTCGGTCATAGAAGGATGAAGACCGAACGGACAACCTACAACGTTAATTATTTCTAAACATTATCTCTAATGGAGATTACTGGTAAGCGTTACTTAGCGAGTAATGAACACTGATATGACCGAGATTAGGGTTTCACTAATCTTAAAACTTACCTATAAATAAAAATCAAAGGTTAAAAGGTGATTGATTGCATTTATTTCGAATTTAATATTTTATTGTGAGTCCCGATCAGATTAATTACTGAGTTAAACGTCAAAGTGTTTTTGACAGATACATCAAGACTTTTTGGAGTGCAAGCAAAGAAGAATCTTTGACTAAGGACATCATCCTATATTTCCTAAGCTAGCTTAGATCAAATTGTAAAGAAGTGATGTGTTGAGATCCTCAATCCTACACCTTAAAAATAAATTACATGATTATCAACTAATTATTTACAATATGAATCTCAACATAATTTCTTAAAATAAAATAATATCGTTTAATAATTATTTTTTTAATCAAATATCTTTGTAACTCATTAATATTGTTTGAGAAAAGAAAATTGAAAGATATAGAAAAAATAAATAAACATTAATTTTAAATATATTAATATAAGGCTAATGGTAAAACTTACAAGTTTAAGTATAATACTCAAGTCAATAAATTTTGTATTAGAATAATTTTTGTGTAAAAATACTATTACTTAAAGTCATCCAACCTCGTGACTTCTCGTGTACTACTATTTATAATTTTAATTTTGCTTTAAAATAGCTCGTGTAATGGAAATTAATAGCATAATAAATCTGCTATAATTATTATTTTTTCAAACAAAACCTTTTTTTATCAATAAAAACACTTACGATTTAGGCCCTTGTGTTGCGTCAAAGGTGAAAGGTTTATAAAGGTTAAAAAACTGAAAAGTTAAAGCAAGCAAGGTACTGCTTGATCCAAAACTGAATTAATTATATAGATAGTTATCGATAAGAGGCTACTAAGTTCCTTTGAACTTTTCGTACCTTGGTCCAATTCCATACGCTGAAAAGGAAAAACGGCTACTTCTAATTTTTCGCCTTAACGACCAATTATAAAATTTGAGCAGTGTCGTTTGCGTAACGTCTCTCCGAAGATTCATTCCCTCACCCAAACGCAAATATCCAATTCCAACTTCAACCCTTGTTTGTACTTTCCATACTTGTACTCTTCTATCTCTCCTTGTCGTTTTCATGTTTACTATTTTATTTTATTTATTTTATTTATCTATTTTTATTAATTTTATCAAAATTAAAAATGCGTGTCAACAAAGCCTCCAGCGCCACGAAGAACCGCAAACTGACGTAAACCATTGTATTTACTGCAATGCCCTTAAGGTCACGCGAGTGCATTTACTCTCCCTAAATCCGCGCGTGCTTTTGCTACAGTGCCCGCGTCACTCTGATGGTGGCTGAGCTTGCTTCTTCTAATTTTGGAGTTAATTTTCACAACCGAAGCACAATCGCGCAGCGTGTGACTACTGCTTCGACAGTTACACTTCTTACTCGGTCAAGCCCCGGCAAATCGTAACGGTCATATTTTCCTTCCCATTTTCAACCTTTCTCGCAAATTAGCAACACCAAATTTCTCTGCACACGCCCGCAATTTTTTCTCTGTTCGAATTCCGTTCAATGCTTCCCGTAGCTTGTTCGTTTTTCAGTTGGTTTCTAGGGTTCTGAAATTCGGCGTGAATTCCAACAACGAGTTTTAAGTTTTGATTGAGTTACCAATTGAATATTGTTGATTGTTTGACTATAGCAATGAAAATATTGTAATTGGGATTAATAGAATTTTGGAATAAAAACAATGGTGGCTGCGATTTCTACGGCGATAAACCCCAAACGAGCGCAGACTCCAACTCCAAGGAGAACTCCTCTGTTACCTTCTGAATCGGACAATGCACTCGCTCCTCCCCGAAGGCCCAAAGCACGAGAAATTACTTCTCGCTACATGTCGTCTTCGTCGTCTTCGTCTTCCTCCGTTTCGTCTCCTCCTCGACGATGTCATTCGCCTCTGGTGGTGACAAGGACGGTCAATTCTACAAAGCAAACACCGACGCCGGCGTTGAAGCGGTGTCAGTCGGCGGAGCGCCGGCGACAAGGCACTCCTCGACCTACTCTGACAGACGCTCCTGCGGCTCAGAAAGTGCTCTTCACTTCCACAAGGAGCTTGTCTGTTTCGTTCCAGGGCGAGTCGTTCCCGATCCAGGTCAGGACAACGAAACCGCCGCCATCACAGAGTTTGCGGAAGAGCACGCCGGAGAGGAGGAAGGTTGCAACGACGCCGACACCGGTGAGAAATGGCAATTCGGATCATGCAGAGAATGGCAGGACGGGGCTAGATCGGCACCGGTGGCCGGCAAAATCACTGCCGCGACCACAACAACTGAATTGCGTGAACCGCAGCTTGGAATGTGTTGATTCCCCTGGGAGAAAACAAACGGACGCGCCGGAGAACGTTGTTAGGTCATTGCAGAATGTAATGGCGGATGTTCGAGCTTCTCACGACGCGACGCTAGGATCGGAGAGTAACAAAATTAACGGATCTAAGTTTCGGCCTGAAGCTGAGCTTGAGCCTATTGCTTCTGATACCGAAAGTGTAACCTCTGGAAGTTCCTCTGGAGATGGAATTCGAGGTTCCCGAGGGATCGTGATGCCGGCGAGGTTCTGGCAAGAGCATAATAACCGTTTACGGCGCCAAACAGAGGCTCCGTCTTCTAGAAACAGCGTAATTGGAAATAAAGGAACTGTTACTACTACTCCTAGTCCTAGGATTTTAGTGCAGAAGAAATCAGTGTTGGATTCTGCTGTTTCATCGCCACGTGGAGTTGTGAATAGCCGTGTTGTTCAAGGTTCTCCTATTCGTTCCGCGGTTCGTCCTGCTTCTCCGACTAAACTAGCGACACCTTCTGTGTGGTCTCCTTCGAGAGGAGTAAGTCCGTCACGTGCGCAAAACGGCGTCGCTGGTGGCATGAGTAGTAGGTTCGGAAGTGAACCTTCTGTTCTGAGTTTCGCGGTTGACGTTTCCAGGGGAAAAGTTGGGGAGAATCGGATTGCTGATGCGCATTTGTTGAGACTCTTCTATAACAGGCTCCTCCAGTGGCGTTTTGTTAACGCCAGAGCCGATGCTGCTCTATCTGCGCAGACATTCAATGCAGAGGTATTTTTTACTGCGAATTTTTTTGTATTGAAATTAAATTGCGCGGGTTTGAATTTGCCTGCTTGTGCATTATTCGTTGAAGCTGTATTGAGTGAAGATTGTGGATTGATAACTTCGTTTTTAACTTTTTATATTAGTTGGAATTTAGCATATGATCATTAGCACCCATGTCATCAAAGTTTTAAACTGCCTGTTGTGGTTTGTTACATCCTTGATATCGAGAGAAATTCCAGATAAACGTTGCCAGTTACAGATGGAAACCGTGGCCGAAGCCTTGTTGTTGTGGCTGAAACTGTGGCCATGAGCTGTCTTTTAAACGTGATCATATTTGTAATGTAAAGGGTGAAGTCATGTAAGGCAAGACAGAGTAGAGAAGGATTTTATGTTTTGTCTGACTGTTTGCTAATGTTTTGTTTATATTCTTTGTAAATATTCTTCGTTGTATCAGGAAAGCCTCAAAGCTGCATGGGTAGCTATGTCAAAAATACGAGAATCTGTTAGAGCCAAAAAAACAGAGTTTCAATTGCTGAAGCAACAATTTAAGCTAATAAACATCCTGAAGGATCAAGTAAGATCTACAACTTCCCTGCTCTAAGTTTCCTGGTGTATATGTAGGTTTTGGTTCGCTTGATTTGAAGCTTTATCATTTCTCCACTAGGTTGATTGTCATTTCATCGTGTTCTTCACTGTATAGCTGGCATCTCATGGCATCTTGTTTCATTACTATCATATTCAATATTGAAGCTTATTTTGGGTTTAAATACATTGACATTGCTCATTATTTCAATCTTCTTTTTCAGTTATAGTTAATTAGAAAACTCCGGGTAGGCAGGCTAATTGAAATTGTTCCCAAGTACATGTGTTTCATTCATTTATTTTATAAGATCATAGAACCTCTTTTTCTACCACAGGAAACACACACACACACCCCTCTAATGAGGCAAAGCAAGAAAGTATTCATTTGGGAAAAAGTTAGTTTGCATTAGTCTGTGACCAGAATGAAACTCAAACAGACAGTTTGAGAGATATTTTTATTTGCTTTGGTTATGATGACATAGAATTTTGTGTTCAGCTTTGACAGAATGTTGATGAAAACTATTTATGCAGATGTTGTGTTTGGAAGATTGGGCTACTTTGGATCGGGTTTACTCTACTTCACTTTCCGGAGCAACCGAAGCGCTAAGGGCTAGCACTCTTCGTCTTCCTGTTGTTGGTGGGGCAAAGGTATTTCTCCTTTCAGTTTCTTGTTTATTCTTTATTATCTAATTATGGATAGTGTGTGACATAGCAATTCCGTACCTTCTTATCTGGGACTAATATGAAGAGCTCTGTGCTTGCTTCAGACAGATTTGCTAAATTTGAAGGATGCAATTTGTTCAGCAATGGATGTGATGCAGGCAATGGCGTCTTCCATTTGCATATTGTCACCTAAGGTACGTATTTCTTTTGCCCTGCCTCCTTTTTCCAGATGTTGAGTTTCAATTATGTCTGTTGTGATGAGTGATCATATAGTGTTATTTTATTTTCTAGATAACTTTCTATGAGGCTACATTATGATTGTGAAAAAAAAAGAAAAAAAAAACTGATTTTGTTTTATACTGTGAGTGTAATCTTATCAAGTGTCAAAAAGAGAAAAAATTAGGTGTTATTTTTATGTATAAGCGCGTAGTAATCTGTGTAAGCATGTCTTCCTTCTTAAAATTTACCACATAGCTATAATGCTGATGGTTCCATACTCGAAGATCCTTGGTGTTATTTGTTGATTTGTTTAATTGCTCGCTGCCTATAATATATTCCGGAGAATTATCTTAGAAAAGACTATATTTTTCCCAAATAAATATCAATTTGTTTTCTTGAAAGATCCTGACTTTCATGCATTTGTTTGAGATTCTTTCCTCACCTATGTTGTGTTGAATGGATATCTTTAGTATGTATAAATTGTGGAGTAGCAGCGGAAGTGGAGACATTATTGTATAAATAAAAGACAGTTTATATTCAGCAATATATAATTGGATAATACTGTAAAGTGAAAATAATCTGATCGTGCAATTTAAGCAAATTCTTGTTCAGATCAAGTGAGATATTTGACGGAGATGCAGAATAAAAAATATTTTCGCAATTGTATACTTTTATCCTAATTCCGTCATTGTATTTAGCCAACATAGGACAGAGTGCCTATGTTTGTGCAGCCAAGAGCAAAAATGGTGGTGGAAAAATAAGGAAATTAGAGTATATCACAGTGGTGAAGTGAATATTTTTATTTTATTGCTCAACTGAAGTAAAGTTTTCTGGATCTTTTGAGGAAATGAAATGATGAGCAAAAGTTGTTTCGTATCCTCGTTATTGAACAAGTAAAGAATTTCCCGTCACGGCCTCCATCTTTTTGGACATTATCATTCAATTTGGTCAAGGGAGCAATATATAAAAATAGTGTTTAAAAATGCAGAGTTCACAGAATAAAAAATACATATTATTTAGGGAGGAAAGTTTTATTACGTCCGGCATATCTGTTGAGTTTATCATTGATTTGTCTGTTGAATTTATCATTGGCATATTTATTGAAATTATCATTGGCATATCTGTGGAGATTATCATCGGCATTCATTTTTTTCCAATTTTGTTCCACAATTGTATGAGTGCAAGATATCTATCGTGGTAGGTTTGGGATGCAGTGTTAGGGATCCATTTGTGAGGAAAACAACTAAATCCAGTATCTAATGAGTTTATAATTGACTTGAATCTTGTTTTACAAACATTGGTTAATGAGTTTATTATCTTTCCCGAGTTTTTCTTCTCTTGGTGTCAATTAAAGGTACTGAAAAAAGCATTGAGGAGTTCACGGATGATTAATATTTACATTAACCAAGACACTGAACACTAGAGCATGCCATTTTTAATGTAAATCGTTTTGCTTTTTTTGTTAGGTTCGCTCAATTCAATCTCTGTCTAAAACTTGTAAAAGTAAGATAAAGGGAGGGAAATTGGGACTATTTTTTTAGGTATTAAAAGTTAATATTTAAATTAGGTGAGAAATTCCAATGTCTTTGGCTTTAAATTTTAAACGAGATAAATATGACTGGTGCTCTTATCTCTGCTTCTTTGGTTTTATTCTGTTATCAATCAAAATACTTGTTATGGATCGGAGTAATGTAGCAATTAGGATGCCAATATGTCTGAATTCGTTTGCAATTGATAGGTTGGGCAACTAAATTCGATGGTTGTCGAAGTTGCCAATTTAAGTGCGAAGGAGCGTGTTTTGCTTGAAGAGTGCAAAGACCTTTTATCAGTAATTACAACCTTGCAGGTAAATTTCATATTTTGGAAACGTGTTATTGAAGCTTAAAGTACTTTTTGATTTTCCTTGGATGATCGTTAAATGTAGTTGCGGTTATATGACTAGAAATTGGTTAATAAAATCTTGAGCAGGTTAGAGAATGTAGCCTGAGAACGCATGTTGCTCAACTGAAATGTCAACCTAGAAGCACTGAAGTAAAAATAACAAGCAAATAATACATTGTCTGACCAGCCAACTTTCAGTGCTAACATCATAACATAGGAATGGTTGTTTTGGCTTTGATTTCAATACGTGAAACAGTCATTACTGATGGAGAAAAGCTAGTTAGTATGAAAAAGGAAAAATTACAGATAGTACAGATATTCTGGTCAAACAGGATTTCATCATATTGTACAAAGAAACTCGTAACAAATAGTTGCTCTCTGATTATTGATCACGTGCTAGGAGTGAGGATTGAAATTTGTCGTTCGGGAGATAGTTTGTATACACATTATTCTATTTGTTTTTTTTGTTAGAGGATGTATATAAACTGTGTAGCATTTTACATTTTAGTTTATTTGTTTTTATGTTTGTGTTTTTGAGTTTGTATTAGCTTATGGAAAAAAAAATGTCAAAATGTGGATACGATTTGCTGTATTTTCTACACTCCCTTGGAAAATACGCTTGCTTTGATTTCTGACATCCTCGTCATTTAAAGTCAAGTAGAAAAATTATCTGTTATTGACATAAATGACTCATATCTTTCAGTTTTTTTATCGTCCGTTACTGAAATTGTCGTGCATTTGATTGATTTGGTAAATATTAACGTTAAAATTTTGAAGTTATTATTTACCCATTAAAGTTCTACACGGTTGTCTGATTAGTCAGTTGTCGAACAAATTTAGGAGTAATTGCCTCAGGTAAATGTAGAGATAGATACAACCTGGGTAGCTCTAATATGGTCCCATAACTGATTGTTCATAAATAGCTGAACTGCCGATTTAATGAGCCTGAACTTGGTTCACGTAAGTTCGTGGGTTCTCTCTTCCCAGGTTGAGCTGTCACCTTGTGACTATTTCTGGCCATTCATTAAGGTTATTTATTCATTGATATATTCGCTATGGTTATTTTCTCTATTTCACTATTTGTTACTCTCTGTCAGCCTCCGTAGCTATATACGCTCCATTAGAATTATTAGTTTTTGAGATTTTTTTTTAGTTTAGGCCAAGTAGAAAGAAGAAAGTTGAAATGTACTGAGTTTCACTTTATTCTTTCTCACAATTTTGAAACCTTAAGATCCTACATTTCATAATTTCAACTTAGTGTAACATCCCAAAAATACAATGGAAAACCATATAATAGAAACATCACATTCATAATACTTCAATTCAAAAGATGATCGAACGGTCATCGTACAAATAAACTAACTACTGACCGAACGGTTCTACAGTTCGGTCTTAACTTCTACCTCGACCAAACTTTTTTCTTCCAGTGCTTCTTCCAACAACTCTTCTCCTTCTGCTCACATCCACACGGATGATCATTGCAACAGGACAAACGATCGAACGTACAAAACGGATGACCGTTCGGACTGTATGAATTCTGTGTAGCTACGACGTTCGTGCACCCGAGTGATGTAGTAACTAGGATACCCTCAACAGCTGTCACCCGAGGTTAATCCTATCTGTCCAAATTAACCATAAGGACTATGACCTCCTGCCGTTCTCACACATGACTTATCCTTCTCTACGTGAGAAACAAGTAACCACGGAATATCAGGATGAACCGCCAGCTTAGCTTTATCCACATTCATATTTTACCATTCCAATATCAAATCATGAGATATTCCTCCTCGGAACACTCTTTCGTAACCAAAGTCATTTCATCCATATCATATTCCATCATCTTTCATTATTAAAACTTCAACTGAACCAATTTGAATAAAGATCCCGTAGGATACCAAATATCAAACGTTAGTTTTTTAACCCAGAACAAGACTGAACACTTGGAGTGAGACCAAGATGTCTTCAACTCAAAACAAATCAACTCAAGAGAGTTACTCACAGGTTGTGAAAGGGACCGAAACAATAATACTTCTCAAAGATTAATATAATCGAACGTTATTTACCAAGTGAGCCAATTTAATGAACTGACTCTTGAGAGTTCAACCGAACACCGTAAAGCCTAAGCCGAGTACTAAGACTCTAGGCCGAAACCAATTAAGACAGATACTGTAGGACATCAAATAATAGCACTTGACGGAATCATATGAAGAAACCGAACGCCAATAAATACTTCGCTTCTTAATGAGTTAAACATCAAGGAAAACGAATGTCAGTCGAAGACCTGGCACTGTAGAGAGCGAACGCTATTGATTTTGGACGAATGCTCTTATTATAAAGATAGATTACGAAAATGTGAACAAGCGCCTGGTGTAAGACCGAGCACTACTTAGTACGAGCGCTTGGTGTAAGACCGAGCACTACTTAGTACGAGCGCTTGGTGTAAGACCGAACACTACTTAACTTATAGAATCAAGGCTTGATAAATATAAGATATCGTTTAACTAGTGTTCAAGAACGAACGAAATATACAAATACATATAGATATACTGAAGTTTATAACCAAATACCAAGGAACAAATATCCTTAGTTGAACGCTTAAGTACAAATATTACAAAACAAAACGAAGACGCTAGTCTTCAACTAGAATTCTCTCCAAATGAAAGAATTCAGTTCCAACCGAGTCCACAGGAAAACCGAACATTATATCGAACAAGCGCTGGTCTAATACCAAACACTTATTAAGAACGAACGCTATTGAGAACGAACGCTTGTATAATTGAATGGTCAATACTGACTCTCGACAACATCCCTACCCATTTCATAGCTTTCATTAATCATCAATAATTTAAACAACATACAACATTTCATCATCAACCAAATCATTAAACACAATATCATTCCAGTTTCTCATCTCTTAGATTTATATACTCATACAACCAACAATGCAGTAACAAACGTACTTCATATTTCATCCAACAATCAACGAACATGCCAGCATTCAAAAACGAGAATAAAATCAAATTATATAAGTTTTCCTTACCTCTAAGTGTGACCGAGCGTTCACAATTTGTACATAATAGCTCACCACCAATTTCTTAGAAGACTACGATCGTGATTTACGAAGCTAACCAAATGCAAGACCAGAAAAGTGTTCAGAAAGGTTTTAAGAAACTCATGCAACCAAAAACTGAGTTTGCATGTACAGAAAAACCACTCGGCTGAGAGAGAGAGGAACTTACCGGATCAGAACCAAAAACTGATCGGTTCAAACTGAAGCCCTTGACGCCGGGATAGTAGAAATGGTGCCTGAGTGGTGATCGGAGGAAGAAAAAATGAGAATTTCTTAAAGAGAAGTAAGAGCTTTTTAAAGAGAAAGAGGAGAAAACGAAATTTTCAGAAATCTGGGAAGAAGGTTTGCTTGCAGAAAGTGGCACAGAGTTTAAAATTTTGCCTTAATTAAATATTGCCCTCCCTTAAAACCGAACGTCCACTTCCTTGCAGCCACTTGTTTTTTACTATGAGAATTTTTGAACTCTCTCTTGACACTTGTAATCCACTCAGCTGGAGTTTTTAGTGGGTTTTAAATGGGTTCTAACACTTAGGCTCTCATAAATATTTTAAAATATATAATTTAGAATATAATTTTTTATATACTGGATTTTACAATTCATAATGTAAAATAAAAAATGTATTTTGGATTGTATGATTTGAAATATAATTTTTATATTTTAAATAGTGTATTTTGAAATAAAAAATAAAAAATGTATTTAAATTCTACATTTCAAATTTCAAAATTTATATTCTCAATTGTAAAATACAATAATTTATGGGAATGGAAAAGAAATTTTGTGGAGGGGTCAAAAGACCGAGAGTAAATATCTGCAGGGGTCGATAGAAAGGGGAAGAGAGAAAATGGAGGTGCAACGCTAGGCTTCGCAAGATGAGTAAAATTTGGTGGTTGTAAGTGGGTGGGGCTAATTATAAGAGAGAGAAAACATTCCCCTGGTCAAATGGGTACTTTTGTCATTAACAAAAAATTTGGAGGTGTATGGAGAAGGCTTGGAGGTGTAAGGAGAAACCCTCCTTAATTTTGGCATCAAACTTGAAATTTAGTTTATAAAACTGCTAGGCTAAAGCTTCCTGCACCCCATCAAATTTTACCTCCCACCCCCATGAAAATATTCTAAAAATTGTTTTATGTAAAAGAGCGTCATTGATTTCCAAAAATTTTCGTAAGTATTCATTGTGTTGTTGAAAATAAATTCCCAAAGTGATAAAGTGTAGGAAGAAAATAATTAACTTTCAATTATTAGAAAATGTTATCAATGCATCAAATTCATTTTCATTATTAATCATTCCTAAAAAAAAATTGTTTATTAATAAAAATACAAAAAAGTAATAATAATTATGGTTAAATATGTTTTTAGTTTTTTAACTTTAAATAAAAATTGAAATTAGTTTATCTTTAAAACTTTGACGAATTTAGTCGGTAGTTCTTTTAATTAAATTTTGTTTAAATATATTTAATGTTTCAAACATAATTTGCAGTTAGTATTAAAACAAAAATATGTCAAATGTAAACAACTTAAATACTATAAAAAACACATTTTGAAACTCCAAATAAACTTAATAAAATTTTGTTAAAATGATTAAATCTATGTATTTCTAATGTTAGAAAACCAGATTGGACCAAAGTTTTGAAAAAAAATTATTTTTAATTTTCACTAAAATTTAAATACTAAAAACATATTTAACCTTAATAATTAACAATAAAAAAATAAAGAAAAAAAGCTTAATGTTTTATACCAAGTATATGTCTTATAAAAGAATAATCAATTTCTTCTAAAACGTGCCTTATATTAAAAGTAGAAGGGAATATAATAAAATCGTATCTCACATATAAAAAAGTAAAAGAAAATTAAAATGGTAAGATTTTTATATAAAATAAATATTAGAAATAGTGCTTAAAAAATTATAAAAGAAACTCGTAAAAGAAATACAAAATAGATTACGTGGAACCCACCTCCAGTGGAAAAGTCCCGTGCCAAACTAAACTTAAGAAGCTGACGTGCTTCGCACCATTTTCACCTTTTTTTTAAGCTTTTCTTTTCTGTGAAAAATTCTATGCCCAAACACCGTTCATTTCCAATCTATTCATTCAAACAACATTCAAACGTAACATAACATGATTCAGTTATATGATCTTATTTTTCCATCACTTTGATAAACTTATTATATATTTTTTCAACTATTTAAGTACAAACTTTCTATTTGTTTAGATATTTAATAAAAATAATCTATTTATTTAGAGTAGATTATGTTATGCTTAACAATATGTTTTATATATTACCTGTACTTAACTTTTATATACTTTTTCTTGAATGAAATTATGACTTAATGAAATTATGGCTAATCTAAGGGCCTTGTCAAAAGCATACCTACACTCTAATACACTTCCAAGGTGGCCTATACCCTAAAAAATAATTATAATTATGATCATATAAATATTGTTCCATTTGTTTGGAGA